AGAGAGGAAGGGAGAGGGATAGAGAGTTAGAAACATCAATGAGAGAGAGAGAAACATCGATCAGCTGCCTCCTGCACACTCCCCACTGGGGATGTGCCCGCAACCAAGGTACATGCCCTTGACTGGAATCGAACCTGGGACCCTTGAGTCTGCAGGCTGATGCTCTATCCACTGAGCAAAACCAGTTAGGGCTCTTTTTTTTTTTTTAATGCTCAATCGAGGATATTTTTTCATTGACTTTTAGAGAGTAGAAGGGAGAGGGAGAGACACTGAGAGGGAAACATCAATGTAAGAGAGACACATTCATTGGTTGCCACCCACACAAGCCCAGACCAGGGCCAGGGAAGGAGCCTGCAACCAAGGTATGTGACCTTGACCAGAATCGAACCCAGGACACGTCAGTGCGTGGCTCAACGCTCTATCCACTGAATCAAACTGGCTAGGGGATATGCCCTTCCTCTTGATGCAAACCTATGTAAGTGCCTCTGAACAAGTCACCGAGAGCCCTGAAATATCCATGTCTTTCCAACATTGCACACAGCCAGAACTCTGGTCAGTGAAGACACTGTTTAAATGACTCCTTAGCAGATCACTGTCAGTACCAGACAGTCATGCATGTACTATAATTTACTATAATTGAAAGGTCAGGTTTTGTCAAGGCGAGGTATTTTCTTACCTCTTCCTATGCCTTGGCTACTGGGAAGCTCAAAGGTAAATGTGATAGACAACCACAATTAGGTTAAAAATATATGTATTCCCTTCTCATCCTTAGAACTCTAATTCTCCATTTTCCCTGAATGCTCTTATTAAATCCCTGATATAAGTACACAGGGCATAAGTAATAAATTAGAAAGAAACATTTGGGGACTTTCTCAATCGCTTGAGTCAGCCTGAAGCTCCGACGCTAGTCCTGACCCAGGAAGTCCAGCACCACGTTCCTGCTCTAAGGCATCACCAGCTGCATCAAGAGCTGGGGCTTCAGCGGGTGGCCCTCCCAACAATCCAAGCAGGCGCCCTCTTCACAGAGCTCGCTGCATTGCCTGGCTGCGCGCAGACAGAACTGGCAAAGGTCTGGCATCCCTGCCCTGCGTGGCAATCCGGGGGTGGCAGGTGTTATGAAACTGAGTCAAAGGCGTCTACTAGCCCAGTGTTGCTTCCTTTTACATGGTAGTTTGGGACCTGTTATAGCTCAAAGCCCACTAGTGCCAAGCTTAAAATTTTTACTCATCCAGTTGTTTTATTTTTTTAAATATATTTTATTGATTTTTTACAGAGAGGAAGGGAGAGGGATAGAGAGTTAGAAACATCGATGAGAGAGAGAGACATCGATCAGCTGCCTCCTGCACACTCCCTCCTGGAGATGTGCCTGCAACCAAGGTACATGCCCTTGACCGGAATCGAACCTGGGACCCTTAAGTCCGCAGGCTGACGCTCTATCCACTGAGCTAAACCGGTTAGGGTGCCATCCAGTTGTTTTAAACACAGCTTGAACAAGCAGTTTTAAACCATTTAGAAGCGGCCTGCTTTGCATACCCTGTGAAGCGAAGCTCCACCCATCGTCTGCTGGCCGAAGATAAGATACACTCTGGGGCCATCAAGGACCCCAAACTGCTGTTCTCTGACCCAGAGACTCCTCGTGGTGCTGCTGAGTGATGTCATCACGATGCCCCCTCTCCAACCCCCTCTCCTTAGGAGCTCCCTTGCCCTCCTGCCCTCCAGGTGTGGCCCCAGTCATTGTCTCTGGGAGGTCCCGCGCTGTGAGGGACTTCTCCGGCATGCTAATTTGTTTGTGAAAGCAGCGCTACCCTGATAAAACTCATGGCGTGCTACTGTCATTCCCTCAAACTCACTGCAGGAGGACGGAGGACGGAGAAGCGAGCAGGCTGTGTTCCCTGCTTCTTAGTCCTGAGCCCTGCATGGCCCACCCCTCTCTGCTTGGGCGATACCTGCTGGGTGGGACTGCGTGGGCAGGCACCAGGGCGGGTCACTGTCCTAGATGAACTGCTAGTGTGCTCCAGCCAGATGAGGTGCCAATGTTTGATGAAGGGTTGCACAAAGAAATACATGTGAATGGATAATAAGGGCTTG